ATTCCCAAAGGTCAAAAATTAGCACAACTCGTTTTGATTTCATACTGGGTGCCAAAAGTAGAAATTAACACAAGAAATACCTCTGGATTTGGAAGCTCTGGGAAAGCTGAGGTTTACTGGACCCAGGAGATTACTCAGAAACAATCTTTATTGAATTTGCAAATAGAGAATAGAGTCCTTAGTGGATTAACAGACCTTGGGGCAGATGTTTCGATTATTTTGCAATCTCAGTGGCACATTAATTGGCCTTTTCAAAAGACTTTAGTAGCAGTAGCCAGAATAGGAGGTATACAGTCTCCTTTTAAAAGTACTGGAGTCCTCAGAGCTGTTGCACCAGATGGTGCAGTAGCTGATTTTCAACCATATATACTGCCAGTTTCTATGAATCTGTGGGGGTGAGATTTGCAAACACAATGGAATTTGTTACTTACCACAGATGGGGCAAATTTATCCTAACAGTTGCTGGTCTGAAGCCCCTGCTAAACTTTCATGGTTAACAGAAAAAAACAGTTTGGGTTTATCAGTGACCTTTAAAAGAGGAAACACTGAAGCAAGCACATTTATTGGTTGAAGAGCAACTGATAGCAGGACATATTGTTCCTGGAAGACAGGCATTTTTGTAATCCCAAGGAAATCAGGGAAATGGTGACTTTTGCAATTGGTGACTTCTGCAATTAATAATTTAACACAATCCATAGGGGCTTTATAATCAGGTTTGCCTAATCCTCCTATGATTCCAGCTGACTGGTTTCTTTGCATTATTGAAGGATTGTTTTTTTATAATTCCTTTGCATCCTGCAGATTGTGATCATTTTGCTTTTTCTGTGCCTTAAGTCAACTGTGCTGCTCCCATGCAAAGATATCAATGGACTGTTTTACCACAAGGAATGATGGACAGCCCAGTAATCTGTCAGCTAGTAGTTTCCGCAGCTATATCACCAACTAGGAGAGCATTTCCTGAACTAATAATTTATCATTACATGGATGACCTTTTGGTCTGTGCAGAAATGGAACAATATTTAGAAACAACTGATAATCATTTAACAGAAAATTTATGTTGTTTTGGACTACAAATTGCCCAGGAAACATACAAAGAATGCCACCCTGGAAACATTTGGGGTGGGTGCTACCTGAAAGAAGAGTAAGGCCTCAGAAGTTAAAACTGGCAAACAAAAGAAAAAATTTGAATGATTTACAGAAGCTCTTAGGTACTATTAATTGGGTGCGTCGTATGTTGTGTATTACTAATGCCGACACTGATCCACTCTTTATTACAAGGGGACTCAGACTTGAATTCTCCTCGTCAGCTTACCCCTAAAGCCACTGATGCTTTGAATATAGTGTCTCAAAAAACTGAGACACTGCAGACAGAGTGCATTTACACTTGTGGATTTCTCTGGTCGTTGTTAATATGCAATGAAGGCCATTAGGAGTTATATGTCAAATCAACAGTAACTCTGGTTACTTTTTGGAATGGGTTTTTTTACCTCATACACAGAGAAAGACCGTGACGGAACCATTAGATGTGACTGTTGACTTAATCTCCAAAGGCCATAAGAGGGTTCAACATTTACCCGGCAATGACCCTGCATAATTGTATTTACCATTAACTGTAACGGACTTTCAGTTCCTTTTTGCTCAGTCTGTGTCTTTCCAAATAGTGCTATCAGACTTAATAGAAAAAAAATTTTTATGGTACTCCGAAATGTAAACTGATAAAGGCTTTGTCAGATTTTGATCTACAAGAGCGATTTGTAGTTCAAACACAATCCATTCAGGATGCTAAAACCATTTTTGTTGATGGCTCTGGAGAAACTGGCAAAGCCACCGTTGTTTGGTTTGAAAATGATTCCTGGCAATCCTCTGTTCTACATGTGGATGCCTCCATGCAGCTTGTTGGAATTGCTGCAGTCTTACATGGGCTACAGTTGTTCCCTGCAGAATCCTTAAATATTGTCTGTGACTCAGAATATGTTGTTCGATTGTTACCATGCCTTTTTTTTAGTGTGTTAAAAGAAATCAATAATTGTGCACTTTTTGACATTTTGCTGAAGCTAAAACATTGTTTGAAAACTAGGAATTATTCTGTTTTTATTGGACATACTAGATCGCATTCCAAGCTGCCTGACCCTTTAGCTGTAGGTAATGACATAGCAGACTCTTTGTTAACACTGTGCAGTTTTTACTTCTGCAGCCGCTTCACATTCCTTTTTTCATCAGAATGCCTCTGCTTTAAAGAAACACTTTAACCTGTCTTCTTCTCAAGCAAAGCAAATTGTCAGGTCTTGCCCTGACTGTCAGTCAACAGTTGAGTCTTCATTTGCCATGGGTGTAAATCCTTATGGCTTAAAGGCAAATGAGATTTGGCAAACAGATGTTACATACATCGCTTCCTTTGGTGCCCTTGAAAATGTGCATGTGTCTTTTGACACATTTTCACATATGATTTGAGCTTCTGCCCATAAAGTAAAGAAGGCCTGTGATGTTACCTGACATTTAATGCATGCATTTGCTACTTTAGGAGTTCCTTTCCACTTGAAAACGGATAACAGCCTTGCGTATAATTTATTAGCATTATCACAATTTTTACAGCAGTGGGGTGTCACACATGTCACTGGTATTTCCCACTCCCCTACAGGCCAAGGGATTGTGGAACGAACTCATACATGTTCTGAAATCCATGCTACAAAAACATGGGGGAATATGGTCCCTCAAGAACAATTAGACAATGTCATCTACACATTGAATTTTTTGAATTGCACTCAATCTTCTATGAATACTCCTGTCACTGCAGTACAACAATATTTTAGCTCTGATAGTACACCTTCTGAATGTGCTAAAGCGTGGTACCATGATCCTTTGGGCCCGCAGAAATAGGAAGGGCCAGTGGAACTGATAACCTGGGAGAAGGGGTATGCTTGTGTCCTCCTACCTACAGGTCTATGGTGGCTGCCTGTAAAGTTTGTCAAGCAAGACCATGAGCTGGACAGACAAGTTGAAGAGCCCAATCTCTCAGAGGCAGGAGCTGACCATGAAGACCCTGAACAGAATGAGACAGAGGAAGAGAAAAAGGCATGATTTATAAAACATCACTTGGGGGCAGCTGAAAAGTCTCTATAACCAGACTGTTTAATGACTCGAATATGTGTGCTAGCAATGTAGCTTTTATTAGAGGCTGTGATTTTGTGTATAAACCACCTGTATTTATTAGCCAGTTGCTAATAAGAAACTACACCATGTATTCTAGTATAACTCCAACCCTTATTGGTATGGGTTTGTCACTTGTAAAAGAGATGTTAGAGCATGAAAATTTGCAGCAGCTGCTAGAAAATGCTAAGGCAGAAGCTTGAAAAATCCTAATAACTGTACATCATGATGGTAGCGTGTTAAGAGGGTGGGAGAACTCCACTGTCAGGAAGTTTCTTTGTCTGGGCCTTCACTGCCATGAGCATCTTCAAAGCACTGCTGTATCCTGTAGTAGTTATTCTGTTAATGTAAATCTGTGTGTGCTTTGCCGTGATAGCGGACTTGTTACTGGATGAGGAAGGTGAAACTCTGCTTTGACAATGAGCTGCAAGGACTGAGGCTGGCCAAATGCCTCCTACCATAGTTGAGGGCAAGACTTGGTTGACTTCTGTGTTTGCCACCAAGAAGAACCTTTAGCTCCACTGCTGGATGCAACCCAGCAGGCATTGAGCAGTGGGGACACATGCCATGCCAGATCTTAATGTGAGGGATGGCCTCCTCTGTTATAAGAGGGCCATCCAGAAGGGAAGGGTAGGCCAAGTCCAAATCCCCTGCTCAAGCAGAGTCACCTAAAGCAGATTTCATCACTCTCACAGTAAAAAAAAGCCAAAAGTTAGCATGAGTAACTATTATAAGTAATAATAATATCATAGGTAACTATTGTATTTCAACTTTCAGCTTCAAATGCTAATGTCAAGAAACTGCTCTTGTGTGATTTAAGACACTTGAAGCAGAGAAAAGGATAAGGAAAGCCAAGGACTGTGTTTTTGGAAGTAACAGCATCTATCTCTAGGTTCCCAAGGCTCCCGGTACGTCTGGCCAACACATTGGTGAGATCTTGTCTTTGGAGCCTGGACATCACCCCTTTGCTTTGTTTTTCCTCCATGTCATCTAGAGACTTGTTGCTAACTTGTGAAGAACAGAAGCTGAAGTACCGTGCAAAACAAAAAAGGGGGAGATGTGGGAACTGCAAGCCATCCTGTTCCCACTATGTGGATAATTAAAGAAGAAGAATTGGTGATAGTGCACCTGGGTCTTGAGTAAGCCAGGGAGTGTTTGAGTGCAAGGTCGTCCTCGGAAGCAGCCTGGGGAGTGATTGTTTATAGAATGGAATTTACAGTGACTGGAAACAGTCACTGGGAATGATGTAGTTGCTGTTTGGCTTCATGGCTTGGACCCATATCTGTAGGCTATATATTACCATGCTTGAGTGAATAAAGTAGAACTAGTTGTGAAAGCAGTGTGTTTGTGTGTATGTATGTGTGTGTGTTTAGCCTCTTTCTTTACAGATGCCACAGAATTATTCAATTGAGTAAGAAAAGCACAAATATCCTCCTATTTCTCCTTTGAGGCAACAGCCTAAATGGGATCCTGCCACTTATCAAACTGTGTACAGTTGGTTGTAAAAGCTTGGACAATGGGATTCAAATTTTGCCATTTTTAAGTAGGACTAAATTATGCTTAGGCACAATTTGGCAGAACTGAATTGCAGAATGGCAGTCCTAGAAGAGCAGCAATGAGCTTCATCCTCCAAGAAACACAACTGAAAATCACAGTCACAGTACAGAATACTTTTTGTTTGAAATAGCAGTCTATGCATATTCTATGACTTGGTGTCGTGGATTAAACCCAGTCAGCCACACAGTTTCTACGTGTCCCCCCCCCCCCCCCCCCCTTGAGAGCCAGTGAATCAGCATTGAGATGAGTGACTATTAATCTAAAGCAATGAATGCTTATCACAAATACGATTAAACACACTCCGGTCAGATCTGTCCTTATCTCAACCCCTTGTGCCCTATGTTGGGCGCCAAAAAGAACTGTCCTGGTTTAAACCCAGTGAGCCACACAGTTTCTACTCCCCCCCGCCTCTTTCTTTCCTTCCACCCCCCACCCCCCCCCCCCCACCCCCGGCTCCCAGAGGGATGAGGAGGAGAATTGAAAGAACTAAGTAACGAAGTAACTAAGGTGCAACACAAACCACTACTGCTACCACCAGTAATAATAATAAGGGAAATAACAAGGAAAGAGAATATGATACCACTTATCGAAACGAGCCCGACCAAGAAGAGAGAGTGCCCTTCTGGGTCACTCCCAGTTACCTCCCTGGGCATGACATGCTGTGGCATGAAATACCTCTTTGGTCAGTTTGGGTCAGGTGTCCTGTCTCTGCTTCCTCACAGCTCCCCCTCCTCCCTGGCAGAGCATGAGGCTCACAAAGTCCTTGGTCAGAGTAAACATTACTTAGCAACCACTAAAAACAATAGTTGTTATCAGCCCTATTCCCAGGCTGAAAGTCAAAACACAGTGCTGCACCAGCTACTAAGGAGAAAAACCGGCTGCTACTGCTAAACCCAGGACACCTGGTGTATAAAAGGGATCAGATGAGGAAACACAGGTTCTTTCTGGAATCGACTTATTCTAAAATTGTCTAAATCGTATATATGGTACTCTGGCCACACTGGTAGGACCATGTTCTTGAAAAATGACTGGGATACCTATATGATAATTACTCTGGAGGGGAAGAAGGACAATAGCTTAAATGGAGCCAACAGTGACACCCCCCCCCCCCAAAAAAAAAAATTACAGCTCATCTTAATTAAACTAATAAGTAGGTAGACCATATCAATTCTTCATTTAATGATAAAAAGACTAACTGGAGCCATATAAGTAATTATTTTAATTCAACATCTGAGTCTACATGGTGCTAAAATAACAATATATATGATGAATTACTGTTTTATTAAGCTTTGACAACTGTATGCATAGTCACTGAAGAGCTACTGTTAAAAATACTCCACTATTAGATTATGTTTTCACTGCTAGTATCTTACATTAGGTCTTCATTTAATGAGATTAAATTTCTGAAAAAATATAAAGAATATATAAAAGTATATAAATATATTTATATTTATTATATTTATATTAATTATATATTTATATTTTATATTACAATATAAAAATAAGTTCCATACACTGTTATTGTAAAACATTGAAAACTGTGAAGTGCATAGCATTGAATACCACACACCTTATTTTAAAATAGCAAATATTGAATTAGAGGTAGTTATCACAGTTCCTCATCTGATTACTTCCCACTGGTTCTGCAAGCTTCATTTACCTTCTTGACTGGTACCTTTTGGGTACTCAAACAAGAAACCCAATCCAGTTCAGAAGTTCCAAACTTATCTGGTTTTGTAACTTTTATGCTTCAGTTTCCTGGTGAAACTTATGATATTTGGCATTTCTCCATAAATATATTGTGACTATTTGCCTCACACAACCAACCACACATCACAGGCAAGTTTATCCATTCAGAAGCTAGTTTATATACTCATAATCTGTAGTTTATGTATTGTTCTATGTACTACTGTATTATGGTATATGACTCAGCCTCCCCTTAGGCTGCTCTTGCTCTACGTAGTAAAGATCTGGGATGCCAGTTGTGCTCTGAGCCTTGTTACTAAAAAAGGTGTCAAGTGGGTCAGGTTGTGAAGACAAAAAAAAAAAAAAAAAGAACCACTACAAACTGTTTTGTAGCTGATCTGTGATCAGAGAAGCAGCCTACAACCTGAACCCCATATTGCTGTAGGATTGCAGACATGCTGCCTCCTGGCTTCTCACTGCCTGAGGGAGGGCCATTTTTGACAGGTAAGAAAGGCAGTTGATTTAAAGTCACATTCAACTCCTGCAGGCTGGACTGTTTTTCCTCAGCATGGACTTTTCACCTGCTCAGTCTTTAATCAGTCTTTGCCAACAGAAGTTTCTAGAAACACCCCAAATCAGTGACAGGACTTCACTGTGAAAGCCTGTCTCCTTCTGTTTTTTCTGCTTAAATTAATGAATTATTAACACTGCATTAATAGATTCTATTTTTATTGTTCATCTTAAGAGTTTCTTAAGGAAGAAGTGAATTTGGAAGCACAAAACTGCATTAGCTGGGTTTTTTCAGTTATTTTTCTACAACTGATTTCATATTTATGAGAAAATGTGATTCTTTTATGTGGAAAATGCTTTATGTGTGTGAAGAAAGTTATAAAATTAACATTACCTAAATACCTAGTGTTATATGTAGTGAAAATTCTCAAGTAAACCCCCTGAACTAATGCTGTCTTCCTCACACAGAATTTGCATTTTATTACAAGCTCTCTTCATGCTCTTACTGATGTGAGATAGTAGGATAAACTTAAGAGTATTGTCAAACACTACTTCAGTCCTTCTTCACTTTCAAATGTAACAGCCTGAACACCTGCTGGAATACAGTATATCACTGACAAAAAAAGGATAATTTTATTTTGTTTGGTACTTTGCAGTGTGTGAGACTGCAATTAAAGAGCATCTGCTGTGTCAGGAATTACGTACTTACACCATCAAACCTGTGAGCAAAACTGAACTGATACTATTCAGTCTGAAGACACCTGAAGAAAGTGAGTATAGTGGATAAAGGAATCTACACTGGTCAGTTTTCACAGTGAACACAAACAAAGTAACTGCATAAACTGCTGCTCTAAATATTGGAAGGCTCCATCACAGAAAAGTTAGGTTTATCACATAAATGAAACACAACAAAGGAACTTATCCAGAAATTTCAGAAAATTAACAGCAATTAGTTACTTAAAATTTCAGACACCTTTAAAGTAAATATTATTCTCCATACAATAACTTCTTACTGACAACACAAATATAACCTTAAAATAACATCTCAAAATGGCAGTTCGAAAAAAAAAGATGACTATATTGGTCAACTCAGGTGATAAAAAAAGATGTAGAATGAAAAAGGTTAGTTTTTACATTGGATACTGTGAGTTTGTGTAACACATAGCTGTGAAAAAGTATACTGAAAGCCTACACTAATGCCCTTTAAGAAACCAAAAAATCATGTTTAGGTAACTTACAATATGAAAATACGGATTTTATTTTAAACATAATAATCTGACTTAGGTCCATATGTAAAGCACTGCTCCTGTTTGCATATAAAAATCTTTCATGATCCCTTTTAAAAAAACTGTCATTGATAATCCTTCTGCTAGGTAGCAGTTAACCAGGGAATGCGTGCGTGTCCCTATGGAAAACAAATACGGGTAATGTGTTGCTTTTTCTCCTTTATATATACACGTGGAAAAATTCTCACAATATTGAAAATTTAAATATTTTAATAGACTCAAGTATTTCCTCCCTATGACTTCTTATTAAAAAAAAAAACAAACCACATAATAGAAACACAACAGTGTTTAAACTTAGTAGTGTCACAGTGTACAGCTACTTTGGCTTTTAGTCATTCATTGCTTAGCTTGCAGAGAGCAAGAAACAACTCACAAAAAAGTCCCAACACATGTAGAAAATCATTAGAATCAGTGCAGGGCAGGTGAGTGCCACTGACAGGTACTCTCCATCTTCTACAGAACTATAGTTTGTCTGGAGAACAAAACATTCACAAGACACTACATCCCCTCTGATGTCCTAAGGTCCCCATAGCACAGTAGTTGATTATAAATCAATTCATGGCTACCCCATTCTCCACATTACATCTTTTCAATTAATCTTGCTTTTTGTAAATGCAAGACCTAGAAGAGTCACAATTCCTGATCACTGCTTATCTTGGAGTGTAACAAGGAGTTGTTCAGTAATGTTGAGTATTTGCTGCAAGTTCCATGTGAAAATATCTACCTCTCGTGTCCAAAGCTGGAACTACCGCAGACAAGGCTAATTTTCATTAACCAATATAGAATAGAACTGCATATGAATTATTTTGTTTCAACACTGATTCATACTAATAATATATCTCTTTTTGCTGTAAACAGAATGTGAACCTATGGACAGCCCTTTTCTGTCTGTGGATTTACAAATCAGAGAACAGTGACAGCTAGGATCTCTGAGGAGACAAGGCCGGGAAATCAATCCATGTAAAAGAAATTTCAAAAGCACTGATTTCCAATGCAACTAAGTCAAATTATATGCCACAGCTAAGTTTACTTCAAAAATCTCAAGGTGGCTTCATGTGGAAAAGAAAAAGAAAACCAACAAAAAAACCCCCAAGCCAACCAACCAAACAAAACCCCTGAGAATATAAATTTTTATTTTTCTACTTGAAAGCTCAGAATTTGAATTTACTTTGTATGGGTAGAAATGAGTAAATTACACAGACTCATAGAATAGTTAGGATCGGAAAGGACCTTGAGATCATCTAGTTCCAGCCCCTCTGCCATGGGCACAGACTCCTCACACTAGACCAGTTTTTATCAAAGCCCCGTCCAACGTGGCCTCAAACACTGCCAGAGATAAAGCATTCACAACTTTCTTGGGCAACATGTTACAGTGCCTCACCAACCTGTATCAGTGATTTGGTATCCTTAACCTACGTGTTGTGGAAAGAATGGAAAGGTTTTCTACTGTGTATTCCTCCAACCCTTCTTCTAAAACTGTATTTTCTAGGTACCTTTATTTCCAATTTCCAACTCCCAATTTTCTGTTCCATGCACCTTCTTTTTTCCCTTACTTACCACTTTTTCCCTTACTACTGTAGAAGAGATTTTCATGTACCACTTCCATGTCACAATCTCTATTACAAGAACATAAGAAAGCCCGTACCTGGTCAGAAAAAGAGGTCACCTCTTAGTCTCCTTTCTCTAAAAGAGAGTAAGAGTAGTGCAAAAATACAAGATACTTTTGAGAACTCCCCCGTGTTTTCTCAGTGTTTGGTATCAAATCTTTTCTACTTTCCTGTCTCATGGAAGTTGAGTAGCATTCAGACTATGAGAAAACAATAT